TTTAGTTGACAGAAAGTTATAAAATTGAATGGATGAAATTGAGAAAAATAGAGAAGTTGTGGATTTATAGTGTAATTATAAACATTTGTTCCACTCAGTTGGGACAAGGATTTTGCTATTTTTACAGTTGTCATGACAACTTTGTTGATAATATGGTTTAATCGGCAAAAAGTTGTTGGCTACAAAAATAACTTTTTTGCTAAAATTGTCTAATGACATAATGTCGCGTGATATTCAGTCAACAAAATTGATAGTAAAGTTGTACATCTAGCATTGATGTAGGCCCAAGTCATATGTTAGGACAAAAAAGTCGAAGTCAAAATGATAACCTCGTGCAACACTACATGCACAAAATTTAAATAAAATGGGGAAGGGGGGATTAATTATTGAACCGTGATCCATGCTCAAAACGAAATTCACAAAATTGGAACACCAAACAAATTTAAAAAATATATAAATAAGCAAAAAGGTCATGTTATCACAACAACTTGGACCAAGATTTATCTCTTTATTGTACTCTAAATTTTTTAGAAGTTGAAGAAAATATACACGACGATATAAAATAAAACTAAATAAATTACTAAGGTTATATCTCAATTTATAGCAATAATAAATTAAATTCTTTTTCTAATGAATTGGATACTATCATATAGTTATGTATAGTCTAAAATTCATGAGTAGATATAAACAGTGCCGTAAGGTAAATCACAATCTTTCAAACATCTTCACTCATTCTAAAATAGCGAACGGTGATAGACAATAGCTCTCGATCCTCTAAAACACAACTTACAACTTTTATCATAACATGCTCTCTAAAGAGTAAGGCTTAGTCTGTGATTGCTTTTAAAGTCTCAACTTCTGAGCCTCCCCCGTTTGATCCACATTCTTTCAAAATTCATTATTTCAAAACTCATTTTCAACCACATATTTTCAATAAAATAATATTTTTCATCACATCCAAAAAATTTTCTTATTTTTTAACCGCATATTTTCCATTAAAACAAAAGGGTAACTTTCAACTTATGCTCTTAGCTTCTTCAGTTGATTATTAAAACACCAATTTTAACCTCATCAATAAAATTTATATATTTAGTTTTAAGCTCATTAATAAAATTAATTTATTTTGTGTATTAGGTTTGTTGTTAGTCTACATATTTTGGTATTTTATTGTACAATAATAAAATCTCATTCATCATTCATTTTAAAAATTATTCTATTGGCTATTGACTTCTTAAATTTAATTTCTTCGTTTGAGGAGTATTTATAAACGGTATAATTTATAAATAAATAAAAATGATGGTGAATAAGTAAATAGTATTTGTAGGCCATTAAAATATGTTATTGAAAATAAAGTTTGATGATTTAAAAATAATTTATAATTTTTTTTTTTTCAAATGGAGGCTTATTCTATAAATTTTAAGACTTGAATAATGTTAATTTTTTTCCTTTAAAGAATAATATCATACACTTTTATTAAAATAAAAATTAATTTTACAATAATAAAATAATAAAAAGATTATTATAATCAATTTCTATTTTAATAATTATATACAAGCACAACAATAAACAATTTTTTTTTACCAAACTGAAATGTTCATTTTGAAATCTACTGCAATTCCCCGACAAATGCTTATCTAATTCCTTCTTCAACACCGCAAAAGTTGATTCATTTAAAATCATGAAAATACTAAAGATAGACTAATTCTTTTCAAAATCACATTCAAAAGAGTAATATTATCTAAAATCACTGACACCACAACATCAATTTTGGTTACGATGCTATATTGCTATATGATAGACACAATGAAATGTAGAATTATACTTCTCATTTGATGACACATAAATGCCACTTAGATTGGTATTTTAACGATAATGTTGTTGCTAAATATCATTAGTTCATTCGAAAGGTATTGAGATTACTTAGATTCACTGGCCGGCCAGTCAACTTTTGAGATTTTTTTATTTTTATAAAGTCTTGTTTCGTATCGATTAAAATCTAAATTTTAATATAAATCAAAATTAAAAATTAAATTTAATAATATATTTCATGGAATCTACAACTTTTCAACTTTTATTAAAATTTACTAAAAATTTGATTTTAATCCCCACCAAATAGGAATAAAATCACAATAAATTCGATTTTTTTCTTTTTTCTCTTGCTCTTTCTTACTCTCTCCCCCAGTCTTTTATGAAAACCTTAACCCTTCTAATTTTTAAAAATTTGTCTATAATTTCTCTACAAATTATCACATCTACTACAAATCATCATTATTCAATCATTTTTTTTTAACTAATTTGAACCTAAATTTGCATGTTTTCATATCAAATTATGTATATAGAATATGTCTGAACTGATTATATCAAATTTGACTTATATTTAACGAATTTTGTTTATTTGATTGATTATTAGTATTGAATATTAGTCATATGTTTTCCTTTCGATTACTTGAATTGATTATTTGTATCAAATACACTACAATTTTTTTACACATAAACATACACTTTCTTTTGATGAGCAAAATACTAATAAAATGATTGTTCGAAGTCAAATGGGTGAATATGATGATCAAAGTATTAATAAAGAAATGCTTTTTAAATGTAATCTGAATTTTCTCGAGTTACGTTGAATCATTCAAAAATCAAGAATAAAATACTCGATTTGTATAGAGTTTGATTGTACCCCCATAACTCAAATGTCTGCGTCAGGCCTCTGCTTAGAATTGATTGTGATGGACCATACTAACGACTATAGCATTAATAAAAATTAAATTTGATACCACTAGCCACCACCTTTCTAACGTTTTCGTAGAAAAATCCTTCAATTTGACATTCAACTAAAAAAAAAAAAAAAAACGATTTCCATCTTGTTGAGATACACGATTGAGAAGTTGCAAAAACTCCAGCCGCGTGCAATTTTCACACATTTAAATTTTTTTTTTTTTGTTCTGCTTTAAATCTTATTGACAATTAAGCGCTGCAAACTACAACAATGATAAAAGAAGGAATACAATCAATCCAACTCTTATAAATTAAACTTGAGTAGCCAACAAAGCAAGTTTTTCATTCCCCCTTCACAGAGTAAAGGGACATGTCCTACAAATCACCTCGTAGAGTAGCGCACTATAATATCCAAAATAATCAAATTATTAGCCAAAAAAGTCCATGCCCTGTTTGGTTTGGATTAAAATTCAATTAAAATCTCAAATCAAAGTCAACAATTAATTTTAACCGTCTATTTCATGGGACACAACTTTTCAACCACGCATTTCATCCACTTGGGTAATTAGTACAAAACGTCCCCACCTTTCATTTGTATTTTTGAAAACGTTCATACCTTTTATTTTTTGGCATTTTCACCTTTATTTTCACTTTTCATTGCCAAAAGGTCCTTTTATCAATTTTCTCAGTTAAAAATTGTGAAATGACGAAAATACATTTTCCTTTAAATAAAACAAAAGGAAAAAGAAAAAAACTAATTGCAATCATAGTCCCTTTTTTTAAAAAGCGCAAATGTGTTCTAAATAAATTATTAAAAGGGTAATTAATATATAATATCTCTATCTTTCACCTTTCATTTTTCTTTTTTCATTTTCACCCCTAATTATACATTCGATTGTGCAAACCATCATTTTCATCCATTTTCATCCAATTTTTCAATAAAGAACTGTAAAATAATGAATATACATTCATATTTAAATAAAAAATATATTTTTTTAATTCATAATTCTTTAATAATTTATTTGGGACTCGATTACACTTTTTAATTTTTAAAATTTTTAAATAAATTTATTTGGGATTCGTTTGCACTTTTTTAAAAAATTTGGGACCATGGTTACAATTAATTCTTTAGCTTTTTTTTATTATTTAAATAAGAGGGTATATTCGTTATTTCACTATTTTTTATTGAAAAATTAGATGAAAATGGATAGAAATGATGGTTTGCGCTATCAAATGTATAATTAAGGGAGAAAATGTCAAAAAATAAAAAGTATGAATTTTTTTTGCAATAATAGTGAAAGATATGGACATTATGTGCTAATTACCCTCTTAATAATTTATTTGGGACTCATTTGCACTTTTCAAAAAAAATTGAGACTATAATTGCAATTAATTTTTTTCTTTTTTCTTTTGTTTTGTTTAAAAGGAGGGTATTTTTGTCATTTCATAATTTTTAATTGAGAAAATGGATAAAGAGAACCTTTTGTTCAATGAAATGTGAAAATAAGAGTGAAAATGTCAAAAAATGAAAGGCAATGACATTTTCCACAATAACAGTGAAAAGTATGGATGTTTTGTGCTAATTACCCCATCAACTTTTATCAAAATCTATTAAAATTTTGATTTTAATTTCTATCGAACAAGGGTTATGTTTGGTATTTGACTCGGGAGTTTCAATTTGGGTCAAGCCACCCAAGCTTGGGACAGCTAGAGGCGTTGCGTCGAGACAGCAAGCCACAGAGTATAAACCTAGTCCATGTCAAAAACCCAGAAGTGAGCCAGTTTTTTACATTTATTCGGAGTCAACTCGAATTTTGTACTCTTAGTCTTAAGTGGTCTCTACTTGAGATGGTGTCACTCTTGTAAAGTATTCAAATATGTCGTAGAGATTTTAGATTCAAAAATGGGGAGTCCGCACTAGGCAAGGGAAAGGGGAAAGAAGAAGAGGCGGCCTAGAAAGCCCTTACACCTGAACGAGGTGCCCTGCACAGCTGTGGATGTTAGTCGTCGTCCTTCTCATTAGAGGATTCTGTTTCGCACGTAGCATATCGTTCAATAGTAGTCAGTTCTTTAATAACATGCATTCTTTCGATCCTACCTGAGCAACACATTTCGAAAACAGTTTCAGCACAACGATTTTATAAAGTACGTCACCACATTTTCTGGAGTGGACATGAAAATGAGAAACTCGATCCAATATCTTTCTACGTCCCCGGAAGGTAAAAATAAGCACAAAATGTTCACAGATGAAAATTTTCTGTCCCTACAATTTGAATGAAATTTTACAACATCTCGGTTTCTTTTATACTGGCTGTTCTAGCATTCTCGCGATCCTGCTTGAAAGTCCAATACAATGGTGTGTAAAACAAGCTGCATAAACCAAATGGAACCACCATCATCGCAAGGAGCCCTCTTGATAATGCAAAAGCCTCTCGTGTTGATCCCAAGAGGGGATCAACAGACTTGGGATCGTAACCGTATATCTTTTCAGAAAGAATTCCGACAACTGGTGCAGCAAAAGAGGAAAATGATACCTCGAAAGCACGATCAAATGCATAAATCATTGTACGATGATTGGCGGGGACCACCTCAGCAAACATCGGGCCGTTTGTAGCAGTAGCACACCAGCTGATTGTTAGGCCCATTATGAATAGGGTGACAGCGAATATATAATAGCTGCTCACGTTCTGAGGGATAACTCGAAGAAGGAATAATGAGAACGGGATGCCCATAAAGGAGCTGAACTGCGCACACATAATCCTTCCCGAATGAGGGTATATTTGGGACAATCGATCTGCTATTACACCACCGAGAAAAGAACCCAGAGCGCATCCAGCAGCGAAGAGACTGACCAGGGTTGCAGCCCCGTTATGATCAAAACCTACAGACACAACTAGTTAACTAGTGACCAAGCAAGCAAAAGTATCAAGGATCTGATATGGATTAAATCTAATCCCTATTATCATATATGGAAGACATAATATACCCCTAAATAACAGGTCAATCCATGATGGAGGGGTGAGCATACAGTATGATTAGGCTCCACACAGTTCAACAAATCAATGGCTAAGTTCCGATCACTTCCTTTCTATCCGTCATCAAAGGTTTCAAAAGTAACAGAGAAAACTAGCAAGACTAAAGACCTAAATTTTGAAATACTATACCAATTCATTTCATCATAAACTAAAAATGATCACAAGAATTCATATGAAGTACAGAAGAAAAGCTTACCAATTAGTTCAAACCAGAAGGTAAAGAACACGATGGCTGTCCATGGAATTGAACCAACAAGACCTTGTAAAACAATGAATTGAAAGGTTTGCACTTTCATGACAGATTTCATGGCTGCCAATGACTCTGACCAAACTGTTACCGAACTGGTATTGCTTTTGTCTATCAACTTTTCCCTGAAGCATGAAAATTCTCAATTGCAATGCAGCACAAGAAAATATATTGTTAATAAAGTAACTGAACAGAGAGTCGATACCGATTCGAAATCTTGCCCGTATCATGATCAGTGCTAATTCTTCTTGGGTCGACAACAAACTGAAATACTAGGAACCCAATTAAACAACTCAAGGTTGCCATCATGATGAAGGCACACCGCCATCCAGGTACACCCCAGAAATCATTACCGGCCATAACCGTAGCAATAGCTCCGCCTCCTATGCCACCAACTGTACCAACAAGATTAAGAAACCCAAATCCAGCACCTCGTACACCATCCTTATAGCTATCCGCTATGAAAGACTGAAGTGCGGGTATCACAATTGCCAGTCCAAAGCCATTTACCGCTCTCCAAAATGCAACTTGCAAAAAGTACTTGCTTGCACCCACTGCAGCAGTCGACAAGGCCCAACACAGGGTGCCGATTGCAAGTACTGTAGGGCGATCATAATTGATTGCTAAAATACCTGCAACAGGTGATGCCAGTCCCTGTACAAAGTTCCGTACAAATGTCAGATATCCAAGATCTGATGGCCCTGCAGAAAAAGCTTCACTGACTTCTTTGTAAACAGCCGGAAGGAGATTCTCATCAGCACGTTCCATTATAGCGGCCAAGTTGATGATAATTAAAGAGAGAGATATGCCTAAAAATTTTCTTGTTCTGTAATATGAGAATACAACTCGTATCAGATAACAAAATCCAAAGTTCATTATCAAAGAAAAACAATGTCAACATCTCAAACTGTGATAGGAATGAAAACTATTATTACAGGCAATGGTGTCTACAATCTTAAAAATTCAACTTCGAGTTTAACAAAGAAGTGTTAAATCTGGAACTTCCATATAAAACATGATAATGGCAAAAGGTAAACAACGCATAACAAGGAATCAGTAAGATAATATATCCTGATAAGCAAACACGTCAGTTACTCATATTAAATAGCTTTGAGACCTTTTCAATGACCTCGACTACTTCATTTACTGATCATCAAACTTTTTCCGATATTAGCAACATGAAGTCTGAAAACTCATATCAGTTGGTCAATAGTTTCATTTTCAATTTGATACGAAAAGTATATTATTGATAAACTGAATAAGTAAGATCACAAACCATACATGCAAAAATAGATTAGGCGACCTTCATTTATCGATAATTAAACTTTTTCTTACTTTCAGATATGTAGAGTCTCTTGACTCATCTATGAATATAGTGAATCTCCACTTAATATCAGTCAGTCAGTTGCATATTTCAAATTGATACAAGGGTGAGTCTCCAAAGTAGGAAGAATAACACTAGATGTGTCTGCTATCATGTTATCATGTAAAGTGCATTAAACTGTAGTCTAGAGAGCTCTGCGGAAAATAGAAAAACCAAATTCTATGCAACACAGACAATTCAATTAGGGTAGCGCGTCCGTGTCCGACCAAGTCGATACCGACACTTCAATGACACTTTACCGTAATTATTTTTCTTTTTATATTAGAAATATTATATATTATTAATTCAAATTTATTAACAAGTAACAAATAGGTACTCATGTTTAAAAGAATTAAACAAGAAAACTTAATAACAAGTATAAAATTAAATGTTTACTATATAAATTATTTTTCTTTTTATATTAGAAATATTATATATTATTAATTCAAATTTATTAACAAGTAACAAATAGGTACTCATGTTTAAAAGATTTCAACAAGAAAAATTAATAACAAGTATAAAACTAAATTTATACTGATTAACAAGGAATCAATGCGTCAATAACGTGTCGTGTCTATACTTTTTTTAAAAATTGCGTGTCGACGTATCCGATACGTATCGTGTCAGACACATGTGTCCGTGTCGGTGCATCATATACCAAATTTTATTGCTGGAAAAGAGTTCCTTTTACATTTATGGCTAGAAAATATGGTTACAATGTTTTACAATATGTATAATGAAATGTTTGGTTGCAAACCGTCCTGGGAGCAATAAAAGGGAAAGTTGAAGTCGTCATTACAAACAAAACTTCAAATTTGGTTCTACAGAAGCTATTAGTAATTTAAAGAGCAAAAATCAAGACAGTATAACTAATGTCCACTGCATAGGTACAGTTTATATGTTTCACAAAACATTGGGGAAGAGTGGAAATTATTACCATAAAAGATTTTTTTCTTTTTTTGGTAAAAAGATTTGTTTTTTTTTTTTTATTCCATACTACCATCAGTATTCCCAATATCATATCCAAAGTTTCCTTCCTTTTTTTTTTTTTCTCACTGGAAAGAAGATTCCTTAAAAAGCGAGCTTATCTTCTGAATCTGGATATCGAACAGCTAAAAATCTGTTCCTTGCAATTAAATGAACTACATGCCTCATAAATACTAATCTAACAATTGATAAACTAATGTAGAACATTTAATCTACCACTATCCAATCAAAAATCAACTGCAACAACCATAAATAATAGGAAAAAAAAAAAGGAAACATAGTAAAAGCAAAACCCATAAAGCAAAAGAAGATAACATGGGACGAATCGAAAATCTTACTTCATTGTTTCAAGATTTCTTGGGAGAAGATTCTTGGATCCAAAATAAACAGCCCCTCGAAATCTAGATGTTCGGAGGCTAAGTCCCATGAATCAGTCAACCAATCAATTAACTATAAATTACACAGAGTGTGAGACTTTTCATCTGTGGCCGATCTACAACACCAGCCACCTCCCATCAGACGTGGTACTGACAATAGAGTATTAGAACAAAAATAATGTTAAATTACACGATGGAAAAAGGGACAGGGCAAGATTCAAATCCTACGTCTTTTCTTAGGCAGCATTAGTATGTATAGTCAACGAATATACAAAGGAAATTCTTACTTTTGGTGTCATTTGATTGGTTGGAATTATCAATAATGGGATTTTTTTGAAAGCAATATATATAAATATATGAAGCCATATTTAAATATATAAAATTTTGATTTCAAATAAATTTTAATAAAAGTTGATAGAAGGCATGATTGAAGTTGTGATTTATACTAAATATGTAATTAAAATTAATTATTGAGTTTGACCTATATTTTTATCAACTTTTTACGTCAACAAAATAGGAACGAAGTATAGAGTTATTGTTATTATTCGAGAATTTTTAACTGTCACATTTCACCTAGTAATTGATTATCTTAAAAAATTAGGCAAAAAATAATTATTTATTGAAAAATTAAAATTAATAACCAAAATAAAGAATATTACTGGAGTGTAATAATTTTTACTCTCTAAATTTAGAATATGTCTCTATTATACATCTAATAGAAAGTTTGTTGAATTTGCTTGGAGACTAATTAATTTTTCAATTAACTATGTGTTGAGACATTTACTTCTTTAAATTAAATTAAATTAATTGGCCTATTTGGAGCTATGGGGAAATTGTTAAGCCCCTGTTTGTGTACCATTTTTCAAAACATTGTTTTTTACAGTAATCAATCTTCACCACACATTCAAATAATAAAATATTCTACACATAAACCGATAAAGTTTCTTTCAATTTTAACCACACATTCTCCAAACAATACTATTTATTACACCATTTTCATCACAATAATGATAGACAAACAGACACTAAATATTATTTACTATGCATAGATGTGTATGCTTAAAAACAATTAATACAATTATTTAAGATAGATTGGCATTTATAACTCTAGCCATTGGATATTACTCAATGTTTTTTACATTGATATTTGGGATAATCACGCTAGAGGTCCTCAAGCTATACTCCTTGGAGCACCTAAGTCTCCAGTCAAATATTCTTCATTTTTAGATCCCTAAACTTTATTTTTGGTGGATATAAATTATTGCAGATGAAGATAGTGAGAAAATTTGTTAAAATGACATTTACACCATGTTTGATGCACGTTATTCTCCCAAGAATGCATTTTAAATAGTGATTTGATGGAAAATATGTAGTTAAAAAATAAGGAAAATTTTTGGATTTGCTCGTAATATTATTTTATTGAAAAATGTGTCGTTGAAAATAAAAGAGAGAAAAAAATGTATTTTTAGAAGAATGAGTATCAAACATGGTGTTATTCTGCGCATGACATCATTTTTTAATAGTACTTATCAATTACTTCATGACTTCTCATAGCCTCTGTCAATACTAATGTCCTTAGACTCTTGATAACTTCATGGATCATTCCTATTGGCCAGTCTAATCATCACCACCTCGTCGAAAATTCACCTCCTAGCTTTACTAAACTAGGGAGGAGAAATCTCACCTAGTGTAATAAGAACCCAAAGGGAAGTATCCCAATTTCATGGGGGTGACTTGAGTTCGAGGAGCTCGGATAGGGGGATGAAGGCAGTCAAAGTTATTGAGGAACAAATGCAATGGTGGGACATGCAGGTCCGTGTAGTGGTGTCAATGGGCCGAGCCGAGCCGGCTCGGCCCATTGTCGCACGAGCTCGGCTCGTGCGAGCTCGTGGCTCGTTGGCAACGAGCCGAGCTCGTTGCCTTTTGGGCGAGCTCGGCTCGTGCCC